TTCTCAGATGAGAACTGACAATTTCCCAAGAAGAACTCCAAACTGGTTTGGGGGCAACGGCACCCTCGTTGGCACTAGCCTTTTCCCCACCACAGCACCCCTGGAAGGGGCCGACACTGCTTAGAAAGCAAAGGTTCGGGGGGTGCTACACCAGTTCTACGGCTTCTCTTGCCCTAAGCAGCCTGGGAACACATGTCACTTGGCAGGTGACACAGGACAGAGCACTTTGTGCTCTTACAGGCTGTGGGATTCAGAGAGGCTTGCGTTCAAATCTTAGCTCTGCCACAGATTAACTGAGTTTTTGGACACACCATTTAACAGACTTAAGATTCACTGTGGTATCTAACGTGGGAATAATAATACCCCATCGCGGGGTTGAAGTGAGGAGGCATGAGATGCTCAGCAGGGTGTCCTGCACACAGCCAACCTTCGCTGAGCCCTAGCTCTCGACCCCGGGGGCACCCCTGTTACCACTGTCAGAGATATTTAAGAAAAAAGGAAAAGGGTAAAGCAAAAAGAACAGTGCTTTCCTAAAACTGCAACGCTCAGGAAATCGTGCGTGACAAGTTTGTGACCGCGTTCGCCAATGTTTCTTTAAAATTTGGCCTGACTTTTGTACAACAATGGAAAATAGCTGCTGGTTTTGCTTTATAAACATTTATAAACATGTTTACTTATAAACAGAATCCGGTGTGGGAAATCTCATTGCGCTAGGAATTGACTTCCAGTTCCTTCCGATTGCCCGTCCTCGAGCTCTCTGGGCCACCTGAGATTTCTGGCAGCAGAGGCCAGTCCCTACAGAAAGCACCAGGCGTGGAGTAACTGGATTGTGGACAACGGCTGGGGAACATCTTAGGTGAGTGAGAAAGAAAACCACTTAGTTTTGTAATTTAAATCATTCCTTCTCAACGGGGTCCCCGGCTGGAGGCAGCTCGGCCGCAGTATTTCCCAGAGTTTGAGGAGCCCAGCTAGGAACCCCCCAGATCCCTGAGGCGAGATGTTTCAGCTCAAACCGAACACACACATAATTTCAGGCTGCTTCAACTAAAACGAAGAAAGAAGCCACACAGTTTCCCAAGAACCAGCACGTCACGCACCGACCTACCGGAGGGTCTGTTTACCTGAACGACTCGCGCGTTCTTCTCTTCTGGGGATGCCCCGGGGACTGGCAAGGCCCGGGCGAGCCATGCGGAGAGTAGCAACAGGGGAGGGAGTATCCTCAGACTCAACGTGGCCTTTTCTGCCAAGGCTGTGGCCATCCCGGCTTCCCCTGGGTAGGGCCCCCCTCGTGGCGTCTCTAGTTCACCGGACCGTGGCTCGGTCGCTGCTCTCTCTTCTGGTCCCTTATAAAGCCGTGTCTTCGGCAGTTGCCACATCGCGAGTGTGAGGCAACACGGGTTAATTACGTGTGGACGCTGTTGCAACGTTATAATGTGATTTAGGACTCCAGGACGGGGTGCGGGGGGGATCTTTCAACAGAAAAAAAAAAGTGCCAATTGCTGTTCTTTGCTCTTGGGGTTTTGGGTTAGAGATTGACTTTGGCAAAGTTGTGTGGTGGAGGAGAAGACACGGGGGCTGACTCCTGAAGGTAACGGTCAGCGTTGTCTGCGCTTTCTAGGTTTCTAGGCAGGGAAGGTGCTGAGGCTCTGCTACTTTAGACAGGTGTGCTGTAGGATTCGCGGTAGTCAGCCTGGGACCAGGCAGCCCCGTTCGAGCAGCTCTGTAGGCGGTCACCCTTGCTGTGAGGAGGGGCGTGTGGGTGTGCGGGCACCAAGCAGGGTTCGGTGGGGGTCCTGGGGCAGCTTCTGGGGGGTGCGGTTTTGGCATCAGCGTATTAGAGAAGTCTGCAGGCTGGCTTTTCCACGGGAAGGACGAAGAGAATTGACAGCGAGAATAATAGACAATCCATCGAATATTAGGTCCCGGACATACACGCCGTACATCTATTACATCCTCCACGGCCTTGGGATGCTGGCGGTCCTGCATTTTGCAGGTGAAATCAAATCCAGAGAAGTGAGAGGACTTGTGCTACATTGGGGGGTGCCTGGGGTTCAGTCCCAAGGGAGGTGTTTGGAGACACTGAGCTGAAAGCTACCCCAGCAGGCTCTCCCCCTGGGCGTGCGGCGGGCCCACAACGGAGCCTAGGATCCAGGGCTGGCTCACAGAGCAGGAATGAGAGGGTGTGTCTGCACCCCGGGGAAAAGGCCTCCGGAGAGGGTTTTCAGACCAGGTGGCTGCACTGGTCAGGGGCCCGGGGGCAGGTTTTAGCATCCTGCCACCTGCTCCCACTTATTCTGACTCTACGTGCATGAGGTGATGTCACTACATGATCTTTACGTGTGCTCACCTGCATATATTTATATGTTCTGCGAGGGTGGTATTTTGTGTATAAATGCGCGCCTCGACTTGTGTGATACCGGACGTGTGTTAATATGTAAGTGATGCCTTTGAGATGCTTGGTAAGTAGCTCAGGTCCCTCTTGGTGTTTCTCACACACTTTGTAAAAATCCAGAATGTGACTCAGGTTAGAGCATATCTGGGCAGCAGATTAATGTTCACCACGTAGACTCCTGCATTCCCTCGAACACTGGCTCCGCCTACCATACGTCAGGTGCTGTGACGGGTACTAGATCGTTGGAGGTAAGTTCATAGCGGTTCAGGGTGCTGGGGTGGCTCAATTGGTTAAACGACTGCCTTTGGCTCAGGTCACGATCCCAGGGTCCTGGGCTCGAGTGCCCTGCTCGGTGGGGAGCCTGCTTCTCCCTCTGCCTGCCATCCCCCGGCTTGTGCTTGCTTGCTCTCTGTCAAATAAATAAAATCTTTTTAAAAAATAATAGCAGTTCAGGTCAAACGCTACGGGAGTCTGGGGAAAAAAAAAAAACAATGGTGGAGGAGGTGCAATCAAGGAAGGCTTCATGGAGGAGGTCGACTCTGAGCTGGACCTTGAAGGGGAAATAGAATGTGGACATGCAGAGATGGGGCAATCCATTCCCTGTATGCATGTGGAAGCTCCCCACCCCTCAGGTTGTTCAAGGTGCCCTAAGGTCATGATCATGGCAGCCATCCCTGGGTGCACAACTTAATCATGCTGCGGCTTCCTCCACATTCAGTCTTTAGTGAAGAAACCTTTTCTTACTGGGTAAGAATGTCTTAACATTTGTCTACCCTATGTTGAGTTATTTTAATACATTGGCTTGTTTACAAGGTTCATAAAGGTACTGTCTTCTGAACATAATGTATGATTTAGACAAGAACCCAAAACTGGTGGTGTTTCTGTAAATGTTGTGTTAGACAGAATTGTCCACAAAAAATAAAAATAGAAGTACCAGATATTCCAGTAATCCACTTCTGTGTATTTACCCAAGGAGAACAAAAACACTTATTGGAAAAGCTACCTGCACCCTGATGTTTACTGTACCATTACTTACAGCAAGATACGGAAGCAACCCAAGTGTCCATCGATAGATGGAGAAAGATGTGATAACACACACAAAATGGAGTATTACTCAGCCACAAAAAGAAGGAGATCTTGCCATTTGTGACAACATGGGTGGACACAGAGGGTGTTATGCTAAGTGAAAGAAGTCAGAGAAAGACAAATACCATGTGATTTTACTTTTATGTGGAATCGGAAAAAAAAATCAAAAGAACAAACAACAAAAAGAGGAACAGACTCAAATATGGGGGGCGAGGGACCGTCGGAAGGGAGGGGGGCAGGGAGAGAGAAGAAACGGGTGAAGGGGGTGCGAGGTGTGAGCTTGCAGAGTTATAAACGAGCTCAGTCCGGGAGAGGACAAGTACAGCCTGGGAAGAGACAGGCATAGTGTAGTACCTTTGTGCGGGACAGATGGCGCCAGGACCCCGCGGGGGGGCGCACGGTCTGTGGAGGCCTGTCCTACAGCAGACGCCAGGAGGAGGAGGTGGAGCAGGCGACCGAGCTTTGTTTTCTGAATCCATTCTTCACGCCTGGCCACCGTGTGCCCGCATGGTGTGTGCGCCTCACCCCTTCCGATGCTTGGAGCCCAGAGTTCCCTCAGGCCCTCTCCCCGCTGAAAACCTGCTACGGGGAAAGGATCTTCCATCAGTCATTTACACCTTAGTGTGAATTTAGGGGCTATTTGTCTTTTGAGTCAACTTACTTGAGAGAGAGAGAGAGAAAAAAAGCAAATGATTTATTAAAAATGAAGGCTTTTTTCCATATATCAGGAGTTCCAGACTGAGTAAGAAGATGGAAGAAATTAAGTTTTGGACAGAGATGATCCAAGGCGGGAACTTTCTATTTCCGTAAAGCCACCCCCTCTGGCAGCAACCTTGTCCGATTATCTGATGTGCTATCCCACAGCAGAGATAGCAACTTGTATTTTTATAGTTCAGCTTTGCTTTTTAGGCCCAAAGAGAGGAAATGGATTGTAAGATATAGTTAGTTTTCTCTTTAGTTAAAATAAAGGTGGTGGGGGTGGGGGGTTGGGGTCCAGCCATCTGGGATGGGCATAGGCAACTTGCAAAGCTGTCTGGACGTGTGGACATGTGCCCACATCTCAAAGGGGGAGTCGGAGTTCACAACGGGGACTGTGACCCAGCCGGGGAAACAGGTGCCCTGAGCCCGGGGGCATCCCCCGTGCAACACACGGCCAGTCTGACTCCTGTAAGCAAAGGGAGAACATCCTGTGCATCGTGCATGTTTGAACTCTGCTGATCAGGATGGAGGCTCACACTCTGATCAAGTTAACAGGATAATTGCTGGGGTTAGTTGTGCTGAAGGGTCAAGGATACCGCCCTTGAAATTATACTAACTCGGCTCCAAGTTTTGTTCTGCCACTCCCCTACTTATGCAACTTTCAGCAACTCACCTCGGCTCTTTCGAGGCTCCCGTGCCACCCTCCAACCCCGCATGTTGGCACCTCCCTCGCCGGCATCGGGAGGTCAGAGGCGCCGGTGCAGGGCCGAGCCTGTGCGAGCCCTCCAACCCTTGTTGTCGGATGAATGTGGGGAGGCCGTGTGTCCCATTCTGTGAGTTGAGTCAGCACCGCTGAAAAGTTCTTTTCCAGAAAGAGAAGTGCTCGTGGTTAAGCCACTGAGTGACGAAATCGCTTCCATGCAGTTTCTTTCGGCGTCCAGAGTTCAGCGCTGTCAGGGACCATGTGGGTGACTCAGACGCCCTTGGGGTCAAGCACACGAGCACAAGCGGCTCAGTCAGGCATCACAGCAATCATCGTGCGGGAAACGCTCTAGGCTGGCAGTCGGCTGGCCGGGGAGGTCAACGTGTGCACCACGCGTCTGGACCTGGTCCTAGATGTGTGCCGTGTTGGCCCCCTGCAGCTTCAGAGGAACCCAAGGAAGGAGGGTTATCATCCCCATCTTGAAGGTAATGAAAATAAGGCTCAGAGAGCTGATCAAATGTGCCTTCCTATCTACCTTTCCTGGTGTGTCCTTTGCTCGCACAGTGAGGAAAAACTCAAAATAAGGCCATGGTTCTCCATCTTGGCTCTTCCTCAGAATCTGTATTAAACGCAGATAAGTGGGCTCCGCTCCAGCTCCTGAGTCAGACTCTCTGGGGTGGTGCCCAGGCATGTTCGATGTTGGCATCAGTGAGGGACCTCTGCTGCAAAGAGGATCGGGAATTGTAACAAGGGTTTGGACGAAGGAACAGTCGCCTCCTACTGGGGAGACCAGCAGAGCCTTCGTGGAAGGACTGGCCCTCGAGGTGCATTCTGGACGATGGGCTGAATGTTGGCATTGAGCCTGGGGTGAATGAGGGTGGGGATGGCAGAAACCAGGAGCAAAGGCGGAGAGAGGCTGTGCGTGGGGATTAACAAGGTTCTGGGGGTGCGTCCACAGAACTTACACGGAGCCAGCCTGGACCGGCAGCCGGAGCATCGCAGACAGGGACACGCAGCCCTCGTCGGTTTCTGAGCCGTGTTCAAACCTCTGACCATAGCGTCTGGGGCGGACCCGGGTTGGGGGTGGGGTGGGGCTGTCGGGAGGGCATTTCAAGGGTGCCATGGAGTTTGGGTGAAAGCTGGTGAAGATCTGGCTCGAGGGCGGCCTTAGGTCCTCCCCCAGGACAAGGAGACGCACCCCTCCATGTGCAGGGATGGATGGGGAAGAAAGGAGGCTGGGGAGGACGGGAGGCAGCCTGGAGCCTCCCCCCACGGGCTGGACACACAGCAGCCACCCCGCACATGTGCCCCGGGGTCCACGCGGCTCCCATCAACCATGCGGACTCAGCGGGAGCCGCTGTCTTGTGGGTGGCAGGTGGGAGCGGGTTCAATGGGCAGACGAAGCCGGGTGAGCGGGTGTGGGGGCCCCCGCACAGGCAGGGGGTGCCCTGAGCTGTGACCCGCCTCTCCCGACCCTGTGCATCAGCTTCCGTGTTTCCGTGTCTTCTCCTCCCAGCTGGAGGGTGTTGAGAATGGCTCGTCCGTGGCTGTCCACCAGCCAGTCCGACAGAGACGCCCGAGGACAGACCAGGAACGATGGCCGTCTCCATGCCAGGCTGCTCGGTGCTTCTGGAGACAGGACGCTGCCCAGGGAATTTGCCAAAATTCTCTCCCCCTCCAACCCGTCCCTCTGGCCTGTGGCTGCGATTTCTCATTGTTCCTGTTTCTTGAGCCTTGTGTTTTCTAAATCAGCTCCCCTCCCGACGGTTGAGCCTCCCGCCCAGCAATACCGAGAGGACCTTACCCTTTCCCTCAGGCGGACAGTCCGCTGTTGCGTCCTCCCAGAGCCCTGGCGAGCGCCCTGTGGTGGGTCCACGCACCTCTCGGTACTTCGACGCCAGAACCCATCCCGGTTATACACCGCGCCTGTCCCACCCGCACCGGGAAGTCCTCCGAATGATTCCGGCCCACACCGCAGGGTCCCCGCCCGACCCTGTTCTCCCTCGTCTCGGCTAACGCTTCCCAACTTACTTTTCTTTTTAACCTGAAATATCAGAAAAACAGCACACACACACCCTTATGCCTGGCCAGTCCAGGGCACGAGCCTCCGATGGCAGCGTTAACAACCTGCCACAGGCTTAGCGGCTTTGAGACAAGACAGCGTTAGCTCACGGTTAGCTCACGGTTAGCTCACGGTTCTGCCGGCTCTGTGCCCTGCTCGGGCTCCGGGGGAGAACCCACCTCCTTGCTGTTTCCAGCGTCCACGGTGGCTGGCGTGCCCGGGCTGTGGCCCCTTCCTCTAGCGGCAAAGCCAGTGACGTTGGGCTCCTCGCAAGTCTCCCCACGTCACGCCCGGCCCTGATTGCAGCCAGCAAGGGTTCTCCACGTTTAAGGACTCGTGTGATTGGACTGGGCGCACCTGCATAATCCATTCTACTCCCCCCATCTCAAGAGCCTTCACCTTCATCGTACCTGTAAAGCCTCCTTCGCCGCATAAAGTAAGGTATTCACAGATGCAGGGAATAGGACGTGGGCATCTTGGGGCCATCATTCTGCCTCCTACAGACCGTCATTCTCACTGGGAAGGGAGGGCGGTGGTCCGTACGTGTGCGGAGTGATTGCACCTGAGGACCTGTGGGTCTGCACGTCCTATAATCCCAGGGCGACCTGCACGCACTCTGGTCCTCATTCTGACTTTCAGTACTGAGAATGTGTTGCTTGAATATTCACTCAACACCCGTTACGAGTCAGGTGTTCTCCCGAGTGCCTTTGTGAAGTCACTTTCGTGTAAATCTCCTAAGTCTAAAGCAGAAACAGGATCAGAGAGGTTAAGTGAATGATTCAAGGTCACAGAGCTAACAGGTGGGTTATGTAAGAGGATTTGGGGACCCAGGTTTGGTTTTGTAACTCCAACTCTGAAGCCATTTATTTCCGTTAAAGCTCAACAAAGTCCTAGACTGGAGTTGACCTTTCACCCCAGGAGCTGCTAGTTTAAATGTTACACTGAGGTCACCCTAGGAATATTCTGAGTCTTCCTTCTGCCAGATTCCCGAGTGAGACTGCCTAGTGCACGGGGACGGAGAAGCCTGAGGTGGCCAGCCTGCGGGCCCTCACAGGCGGCCACTTTCCCTTTCGCGTGTGGGGCTGAGTTCTGGAGACCCGGGCTTGACCTTTCACCCCTCAGTGCCCTTTTCTTGACCTTGGACAAGTCCCTCGGTCTCTGTGCCTCAGGTTCATGTCCCCGAGGAACCACTTACTGCTGTGAGGCCCTGAACAACTCGCTGCACGTCCTGAAGCCTCGGTTTCCCCAAGTGTCACCTGGCGGGAGCAACGGCACCCACGTCCCAGGGACGCCCAGCACACAGCCCCCACACGGTGCAGACCAGCAGCCTGACCGACGGCTGTGGGACACTCTGGCGGGACAGCTGTGGGCTCTAGAGAGACCAGTTCCTAAATGATGTGCTCTTCCAAGACTTACTTTGAAAATCATTTATTTTAGAGTCTAGTAATACAGGACTACAACCTTGTCTGTGAAAAAGAGAGCAATTGCAAACACTCAGAAGGATGACAAGTGAATGGGACGCCCCCGACGCCCACCTCCCTCCACGGCCTCCTGGGGAGGTGACCACTGTCAGCATTTTGATGCCTCTGTACAGGTGTTCTTCCAGATGAAAGCTCGTTCCTAGTTGCAGGGGAGGTGTCTGGGGCTAGTGTCCCCCAGTGTCAACTCAGGCGCCCCGAAGCTGGGCTCGCGGGCATCCAGGCCTGACCCACGTCCTCGGAGACTGGGGCCTGCCCGGCGCTGAGCTGGTGCTGGGCCGGGCCGGGTGAGGCCAGGAGGGGGCGCCCGGGGTCCACGCGGGCAGCTGTGTGGCTGGCCAGCCGCCTGAACAGAAACCACACTGGCCACCAGCTCGTTTAGGGAGGCTGGGCCAGGGATCCAACAAGGCAGCTTCGTGGGACGACTGGGCATCACATCCGGCCAGAGCTCACCAAAGTGCGGTTTGCTGTAGGCAAGAACACAGAGTGAGACATTTCCCCGAGTGGCCACAGGGTCGTCCTCCATCCGCCGAAGAGCATCTTCTTACTGTCCCCAGGCAGGTCCCAGTTTTAGAAGGTCACAGACAGGCCCCGTGTGGTTGGGCGGGCTTCACGCACGGCATGTCCTACCACAGCTGACACCCGTCTGGAGGCCACCGGACTGCACACAGGCACATGGCTTTCTCCCTGCAGGGCAGCTTCTCAAGGAGTTCAGGGGCTGAGGGATGGCAGGTGGACCTCCTCTGCCGGGGAGGATGCTCCCCAAAGTCCGGACGCATCACAGTTTGCTGTAGAAATGGTAGAAGGAAAAACAGAGAACAGTTGAAGACTTGCTAACTACCTGCTATCAACAGGAAGGGGGCCCCGTAGCACGTGCAAGAAGGCTGGTGTTTGTGCAGAGAATGGAAGGAATGTGGTCCTGAGCCGCCAGCCCCTGTGGCCAGGACAAAGGGCCTTCCTGCCTGTCTCCTTGCTTCTCTCCAGTGTTGGACACAGCACCGGGCATATCCGGACAACGGCCTCCGAGGACCTTCCTGCTCAGGCCCCTCTCTTCCCTCCGTTCCTGCGCTTGACGCCCCCCACGCAGTGGGAGCCACACCGCCCCCCTGGGTTTTCCTTGCCCCTGTGGGGCATGCCCTATCTTGGGGCCTCCGCCCTGGCTAACGACCTCTGCTGGAGCACTCTTCCTCAGCCATCCAGGTGCCCTGCCCCTGCTCCTTCCCTGGGCGTCCCTCAGGCGTCCCCTCGAGGGACACCTTGTCAGTGAGCGCTAACCTGACTGCTGGTGGTGCTAGAGAGGGGTTCCCGACCGCTCCCTGTCACTTCATTCCCCTTAACCTGTGCGATCCCCCATAACACTGGCATCTTCCCATGTACTTTGTTCTAAATTGTATTTACTCTTTATCTCTCTTCCCTGAGCAGAAATGTGAACCCCACGAACACAGCTCACACTATTTTGCCAATGAATCCAAAATGCCTAAAACGGAGCATCCACATACTTGGTGGTCAAGAAGTCCTTTTTCACTTAATACAATAGAGAGACTACTTAATATCATGACATTTGCTATGTGGAAAATCTGGGCGATAAAAATTGTGTACAGTCTACTTTCATATTTATGGAGAAAAACATAAGCATTGAAATATCAGAAGTGTATGACCCAAAATATTAACGGTGCTTATCGTCAGGTGGTAAGATTACAAAGGATTGCTGCTGTATTTTTGGAATGTTTAGGGTTTTTAAAGCAAGTGAATGTTTTAGCCCAGAAGAGCCACACGTCACCTCCACTCACAATTCACTGTCCATAACGAGTGGTCCGGCCCCAAACCACTGCCCTGGGCTAGAAAGTGTGATCCTTCCGTGTGTCCCGCAGGTGAAGACCTGGAAACACGTGGTGACGAGTAGAAATCACGAACACCTCATGAGAGCTGGAACCCGGCTTTATTTTCCCACATAGCATGCAAGTTTTCTCAAAGCCATTATTTGATAATCCATGTTCTTCCTTCTAATTTGTGATGCCACCTCTGTCCTACCGAGGACATTTTTCTGGCCTCATACTCAGTTCCATTAGCGTCTGTCTCTGCTTCTGTTATCAGCTCCACGCCCTGGCATCACTGTGGCTCGGTGACGTGTCTGCTGGGACTCCCTCTGTCCTTGCTCTTTGTCAAAACTCTTAGCTCCTCGTGTGCATTAGTTCCTTCGTAAAAACTTCAAAGTCAGCGTTTCAGGTTCCCTAAATAATCCCATTGGGATTTAATTGAAGTTGCATTACATTTATGAATTAATTTGGGGGAAATTGTCATCTTTAGAGTATTAGGTCTTTCCATACATGGATACAGTGTTCAGCTTTTCTCCTTTATCTTCAATAGGGTCCGGAAATTTTATTTATTGAAGTCTTGTTCTGTTTTCGCTAGATTATTTCCTACACAGATCACAGATTTTGCTGTAGCAAAATTGTGAGTGTAGAGGTATATAAATGATTTTGTGAATGTAGAGGAATATGATTTCAAAATATGAACCAAAACATGATTTTGATATGTTGATGTTATATTTGGAAACACTGAAATGTCTGTCCTGTCCAAAGATTTTTATTCTTTTGGGCTTTTCTAGGTAAGTGACCAAATTGTCTACCAATAATGGTAATTTGGACTCTTCCCTTTTTACCCTTATACCTGATGTTATTTTTACCTTCTTTTTCTTTGTTATTTTTCTTTTCCTGATTTTTGGCCAGAATTCCAGGACTGTGTGGACCAAGTATCAATGAAGTAGGCAGGCTTCTCCTATTTGCAGTATTCATAGGACTGTGACTCAAGTTTCTCCATATGTGCTGATAGTAGAATATACATTGTTTGCTCTGAAAGAGTTTACACAAGATTGCAATGATCTATTCCTTTCCCTTGAAAGGAACTTCTGACAAAACAAATGAGTAAAACTATCTAGGCCAGTGTTTCTGGGAATATTTGTAAACCACTGTTTTTAATTGTTTTAGTAGTTATATAATGAATAAAACTTCCTTTTTCTGTTAGTTTCTATTTCATTTATATATTTTTGAGATATTACATACAGTGAAGTGTACAAACCTTGCATGCAAAATTCAGTGAATTTTACAGATATACATGCTCATGTAACCCACACCTCATGAAGAACTAGAACATTTCCATCACCCTAGAAAGATCTCTGTGCTTTTTTTTCTTTAAATTTTTTATTGTTATGTTAATCACCATACATTACATCATTAGTTTTTGATGTAGTGTTCCATGAGTCATTGTTTGTGCATAACACCCAGTACTCCATGCAGAACGTGCCCTCTTTAATACCCATCACCAGGCTAACCCATCCTCCCAACCCCCCCTCCCCTCTAGAACCCTCAGTTTGTTTTTCAGAGTCCATCGTCTCTCATGGTTCGTCTCCCCCTCCGATTTACTCCCCTTCATTCTTCCCCTCCTGCTATCTTCTTCTTTTTTTTTTCTTGCATATATTGCATTATTTGTTTCAGAAGTACAGATCTGTGATTCAACAGTCTTGCACAATTCACAGCACTCACCATAGCACATACCCCCCCAATGTCTATCACCCAGCCACCCCATCCCTCCCACCCCCCACCACTCTAGCAACCCTCAGTCTGTTTCCTGAGATTAAGAATTCCTCATATCAGTGAGGTCATATGATACATGTCTTTCTCTGATTGACTTATTTCGCTCAGCAGAACACCCTCCAGTTCCATCCACGTCGTTGCAAATGGCAAGATCTCATTCCTTTTGATGGCTGCATAATATTCCATTGTGTATATATACCACATCTTCTCTATCCATTCATCTGTCAATGGACATCTTGGTTCTTTCCACAGTTTGGCTACTGTGGACATTGCTGCTATAAACATTGGGGTGCACATACCCCTTCGGATCCCTACATTTGTATCTTTGTAGTAAATACCCAGTAGTGCAATTGCTGGATCATATGGTAGCTCTATTTTCAACTGTTTGAGGAACCTCCATACTGTTTTCCAGAGGGGTTGCACCAGCTTGCATTCCCACCAATAGTGTAGGAGGGTTCCCCTTTCTCCGCATCCGCCAACATCTCTCGTTTCCTGACTTGTTCATTTTAGCCATTCTGACTGGTGTGAGGTGGTATCTCATGGAGGTTTTGATTTGGATTTCCCTGATGCCGAGCGATGTTGAGCACTTTTTCATGTGTCTGTTGGCCATTTGGATGCCTTCTTTGGAAAAATGTCTGTTCATGTCTTCTGCCCATTTCTTGATTGGATTATTTGTTCTTTGGGTGTTGAGTTTGATAAGTTCTTTATAGATTTTGGATACTAGCCCTTTATCTGATATGTCATTTGCAAATATATTCTCCCATTCTGTCGGTTGTCTTTTGGTTTTGTGGATTGTTTCTTTTGCTGCGCAAAAGCTTTTTATCTTGATGAAATCCCCATAGTTCATTTTTGTTCTTGCTTCCCTTGCCTTTGGTGATATTTCTAGGAAGAAGTTGCTGTGGCTGAGGTCGAAGAGGTTGCTGCCTGTGTTCTCCTTTAGGATTTTGATGGACTCCTGTCTCACCTTTAGGTCTTTCAACCATTTGGAGTCTATTTTTGTGAGTGGTGTAAGGAAATGGTCCAGTTTCATTCTTCTGCATGTGGCTGTCCTATTCTCCCAACACCATTTGTTGAAGAGATTGTCTTTTTTCCATTGCACATTCTTTCCTACTTTGTCAAAGATGAGTTGACCATAGAGTTGAGGGTCCATTTCTGGGCTCTCTATTCTGTTCCATTGATCTATGTGTCTGTTTTTGTGCCAGTACCATACTGTCTTGATGATGACAGCTTTGTAATAGAGCTGGCAGTCCGGAATTGTGATGCCACCAGCTTTGCTTTTCTTTTTCAACATTTGTCTGGCTATTCGTGGTCTTTTCTGGTTCCATACAAATTTGAGGATTATTTATTCCATTTCTTTGAAAAAAGTGGATGGTATTTTGATGGGGATTGCATTGAATGTGTAGATTGCTCTAGGTAGCATTGACATCTTCACAATGTTTGTTCTTCCAATCCATGAGCATGGAAGGTTTGTCCATTTCTTTGTGTCTTCCTCAATTTCTTTCATGAGTATTTTATACTTTTCTGAGTACAGATCCTTTGCCTCTTTGCTTAGATTTATTTCTAGGTATCTTATGGTTTTGGGTGCAACTGTAAATGGGATGAACTCCTTGATTTGTCTCTCTTCTGTCTTGTTGTTGGTGTATAGGAATGCCACTGATTTCTGTGCATTGATTTTATATCCTGCCACTTTACTTAATTCCTGTATGAGTTCTAGCAGTTTTGGGGTGGAGTCTTTTGGGTTTTCCACATACAGTTTCATATCATCTGCAAAGAGTGAGAGTTTGACTTCCTGTTTGCCGATTTGGATGCCTCTGATTTCTTTTTGTTGTCTGATTGCTGTGGCTAGGACTTCTAATACTATGTTGAATAGCAGTGGTGAGAGTGGACATCCCTGCCGCGTTCCTGACCTTAGGGGAAAGGTTCTCAGCCTTTCCCCATTGAGAATGATATTCGCTGTAGGTTTTTCATAGATGGCTTTTATGATATTGAGGTATGTACCCTCTATCCCTATACTCTGAAGAGTTTTGATCAAGAAAGGATGCTGTACTTTGTCAAATGCTTTTTCTGCATCTATTGAGAGGATCATATGATTCTTGTTCTTTCTTTTGTTGATGTGTTGTATCACGTTGATTGATTTGTGGATGTTGAACCAACCTTGCAGCCCAGGGATAAATCCCACTTGGTCATGGTGAATAATCCTTTTAATGTACTGTGGGATCCTATTGGCTAGTATTTTGGTGAGAATTTTGGCATCCATGTTCATCAAGGATATTGGTCTGTAATTCTCCTTTTTGATGGGGTCTTTGGTTTTGGGATCAAGGTAATGGTGGCCTCACAAAATGAGTTTGGAAGTTTTCCTTCCATTTCTATTTTCTGGAAAAGTTTCAGGAGAATAGGTATTAATTCTTCTTGAAATGTTTGGTAGAATTCCCCTGGGAAGCCATCTGGCCCTGGGCTTTTATTTGTTGGGAGATTTTTGATGACTGCTTCAATTTCCTTAGTGGTTATAGGTCTGTTCAGGTTTTCTATTTCTTCCTGGGTCAATTTTGGTAGTTGATACATTTCTAGGAATGCACCCATTTCTTTCAGGTTATCTAATTTGCTGGCATATAGTTGCTCATAATATGTTCTTATAATTGTATTTCTTTAGTGTTGGTTGTGATCTCTCCTCTTTCACTCATGATTTTGTTGATTTGGGTCATTTCTCTTTTCTTTTTGATAAGGCTGGCCAGGGGTTTATCAATCTTGTTAATTCTTTCAAAGAACCAGCTCCTAGTTTCGTTGATCTGTTCTACTGTTCTTTTGGTTTCTATTTCATTGATTTCTGCTCTGACCTTTATTATTTCTCTTCTCCTGCTGAATTTAGGCTTTATTTGCTGTTTTTTTCTCTAGCTCCTTTAGGTGTAGGTTTAGGCTGTGTATTTGAGACCTTTCTTGTTTCTTGAGAAAGGCTTGTATTGCTATATACTTTCTTCTTAGGACTGCCTTTGCTGCATCCCAAAGATTTTGAACAGTTGTGTTTTCATTTTCATTGGTTTCCATGAATTTTTTAAATTCTTTAATTTCCTGGTTGACCCATTCATTCTTTAGTAGGATGCTCTTTAGCCTCCATGTACTTGAGTTCTTTCCGACTTTCCTCTTGTGATTGAGTTCTAGTTTCAAAGCACTGTGGTCTGAAAATATGCAGGGAGTAATCCCAATCTTTTGGTACTGGTTGAGACCTGATTTGTGACCTAGGATGTGATCTATTCTGGAGAATGTTCCATGGGCACTAGAGAAGAATGTGTATTCCATTGCTTTGGGATGGAATGTTCTGAATATGTCTGTGAAGTCCATTTGGTCCAGTGTGTCATTTAAAGTCTTTATTTCCTTGTTGATCTTTTGCTTAGATGATCTGTCCATTTCAGTCAGGGGGGTGTTAAAGTCCCCCACTACTATTGTATTGTTGTCGATGTGTTTCTTTGCTTTTGTTATTAATTGCCTTATAAAATTGGCTGCTCCCATGTTAGGGGCATAGATATTTACAATTGTTAGATCTTCTTGTTGGATAGACCCTTTAGGTAGGATATAGTGTCCTTCCTCATCTCTTATTACAGTCTTTGTTTTAAAATCGAATTTGTCTGATATAAGGATTGCCACCCCAGCTTTCTTTGGTGTCCATTAGCATGGTAAATGGTTTTCCACCCCCTCACTTTCAATCTGGGGGTGTCTTTGGGTCTAAAATGAGTCTCTTGCAGACAGCATATTGATGGATCTTGTTTTTTAACCCAATCTGATAGCCTGTGTCTTTTGATTGGGGCATTTAGCCCATTTACATTCAGGGTAACTATTGAAAGATATGAATTTAGTGCCATTGTATTGCCTGTAAGGTGACTGTTACTGCATATTGTCTGTGTTCCTTTCTGGTCTATGCTGCTTTTAGGCTCTCTCTTTGCTTAGAGGACCCCTTTCAATATTTCTTGTAGGGCTGGTTTCGTGTTTGCAAATTCCTTTAGTTTTTGTTTGTCCTGGAAGCTTTTTATCTCTCCTTCTATTTTCAATGCCAGCCTAGCTGGATATAATAATCTTGGCTGCATATTTTTCTCTTTTAGTGCTCTGAATATATCATGCCAGTCCTTTCTGGTCTGCCAGGTCTCTGTGCATAGGTCTGTTGCCAATCTAATATTTCTACCATTGTAGGTTGCAGATCTCTTCTCCCGAGCTGCTTTCAAGATTTTCTCTTTGTCTCTGAGACTCGTAAGTTTTACTATTAGATGTTGGGATGTTGACCTATTTTTATTGATTTTGAGAGGGGTTCTCTGTGCCTCCCGGATTTTGATGCCTGTTTCCTTCCCCACATTATGGAAGTTCTCTGCTATAATTTGCTGCAATATACCTTCTGCCCCTCTCTGTCTTTCTTCTTCTTCTGGGATCCCAATTATTCTAATGTT